ACGATCTCACAGGACACGAAAGACACGCCAAAGAGGGGGAGACGTCTGCAGGTGGCTAACAAAATAAACAAACGGCTTTTTCACCCTCCCCCAGCTGAGCCATTTCAGCAGGTTTTCCTAGTCCTGCTGACGGGAAAAGGTGGCCTCTCCGAGCAGCCGGTTCGTTAGGGCCATTCCGAGAGTTTGCATCCGTACAGAGTAATGGATACTGGAATGCGCGCGCGCACGCAGACTCAAATGATTTAAAAGCCCTTCGTTCGTTTACCCAGGGATAATCAGAGGCTCGTCAGGTTGCTTGTGCTGGAGGGCTGCATATATACTTACTGCTCAAAGCGTGTCACACTTGGGCGCCGAGACAAGAGGAGGAGGAGGCCAGGCTCTCCCGCCTCCTGGGCTCGGACACAGTACCCGGCCCACCCCCCCGTCGTTCCTACCCGCGTCCTGCGGGCTCACGCCCCGCTCGGCCCCCCCCCCGACGAAGGGACGGTCTCGGAAAAAACACAGCTGGTCTCCTCCATCAGGACTGACGCCTTCGAACTGGCGCCCGACCAGTGACTGGACACCCCAGACCCAGAGAGGGCCGATCTCAACTTCCGTATCTTGACCTTTCCTATGTGCTTCTCCGGATGGTCTGCACGGGATCTCTGTGCCAGGACAGCCGAGCTGTTTTTTTTAGAAGGGCTCAGGATCTGCGCCCGGGGCTGGAAGGTGGCTGGTTCGAATCGGAGGGATCCTACTCCGTTTGGGGCCCCTGAGCCAGGCCCTTCACCCCAGGGGTGCTGTACAATGGCTGACCCTGCGCTCTGACCCCCCAGCTTCTCTCTCCCTGTCTGTGTGTCTCCTGGAGAGCAAGCTGGGGTCTGCGAAAAGACAGATTTGTAAGAATGTAAAGGTGTATGAGGTTGGACGGCCAATAAAGTGAGCCGATCTTTTCCGGGTGGGCCGCCAGCTCCCTGCTGAGGGGCAGGTGTCAGGTGGAGGTGGCTGGCAGCTCCCAGCGCAAACCGGCCCGACAGGTCTGGGGGAGAGGAGGGGGGGGAGGGGCAGGGAGGAGGGGGGGTGGTGCTGTGCCCTTTCAGAGCACCGCGGTCCCCTCTCTCAGCCTCCTGACCCGGCCCGGCCCGGACGAGCTGGCCACCGGCACCGCCAGGCTATCGGGACAGCTTCCCAGCATGCTTTGCTCGGCTTGCGCTTTTTCTGGATGCCGGCTGGCGGCACCCAGAGAGAGAGGGAGAGGGGCGATAGGACTGTTCCCGGGCCGTCCGCAGAACGCCACGCTTCAGCCGTGTCCTCCAAGTGTCCCCGGAATGTGAATCCGGGAGAGACCGCGGCGAGCCGGAAGGGAGCGCGGTCCAAGAGCTGACGGGCTCGGGAGACGAGAAGCGGACCTGAGGAGCTGACAGGGAGGGAGAGGCGGGGGCGTTGCCGAGCGAGCGCCCCCCCCCCGATTTGAACGCACGCGCCCCCCCAGCGACAGGCCCCACGCTACCAGGGCACCGCGGGCTCAGAAGCGCGAGGGATCAGGGACACAATGGGCCGAGCGAGGCGCTGGGTGGGGGAGCAGGATTCATTTCAACCCCACGGAGGCCTGGAGCACGGCAACACCCCCTCGCACACCTGACGAGCACGCACGCACATACACCCCCCCCCTCCCCCACCACTGAAAGAAGCGTCAAGGGAACTTTGCCATCTACCAAGCATGACTCAGACTGTTTGAAAGCCCGCCTGCCCGCAGCGCATGTGAGCTCTGTTGTTGTCAACACTCGCATCACGTGCCTCACGTGTATCCCCCCCACCTCCCTGTGACAAGCTCCTCTCCTGCCGGCTCAGACGCTGAACGCTGCCGCCCTCTGCTGGCCGCCCCACGTCACTGCAGGCCCGCTGAACTCTGGGGAGGTGGAGGGGAACGTCAGGCCATGACACACACACACCTCCTACTTGAAGCAGAGCTTCATGCACAGATCACCTATTTCAGCTTCAGGTGGCAGAAAAATCACCCCTCACAGCACCCCCCTCCCCGGCATCCAGGAACACGGAGGAGCACCCTCATTCCAGAGATTTCCCAGACAGGCTGTGGGCTGGGCCGGCACTGTTGTCCGGAAGACCAGGACAGCTATGCACCGGGATTCGTTTCCTGGGGGGCACACACAGCTGAGCTCGCGCGGAAACGCTGAATACATATCGCAGATATATCGGAATCGCCACGCCCGACTCGATCTAAGAAGCAGCTTCACCGGAATGGCTGCAACTTGCTGGGAGTAAACAGCTCAGTCACCTCACTGTTAAGTGACCGATCCTTCTTATTTTCCGGAACATTTCCGTTCGGCTGGAACGCAGACCAGCAGGAGTCAAGTACCGGGAGTGGGGGGTCATGCAGGAGAAATCCAACCAGAGGACACGGCTGTCGAGCGGGGCAGAGGCCCAGGAGAGGCTTATAATATTATTATTATTATTAATAATTGCTTACACTTATATAGCGCTTTTCTGGACACTCCACTCAGAGCTCTGTACAGGTCAGGGGGATCCCCTCCACCCCCAGCAGTGTATACCCCCACCTGGATGAGGCGCCAGTCCGCTCCCCACACCCCAGCTCTCAGCGGGGAGGAGAGCAGAGTGATGGAGCCAGTTCAGAGAGGGGGGTTATTAGGAGGCCATGATGGGTAAAGGCCAGGGGGGAAATTTGGCCAGGACACTGGGGTAACACCCCTACTCTTCTCGAGAAACACCCTGGGGTTTTTAATGACCACAGAGAGTCAGGACCTCGGTTTGACGTTTCATCCGAAGGACGGCGCCTGTTTACAGTCTAGTGTCCCCCGTCACTATACTGGGGCATCAGGACCCACACAGACCGCAGGGTGAGCGCCCCCTGCTGGCCCCACTCACACCTCTTCCAGCAGCAGCCTCAGCTCTCCCAGGAGTCTCCCCTCCAGGTACTGGCCAGGCTCACCCTTGTTGGGTTCCGTTGGGGCTGCCAGTGGGGAGCTGCAGGGCGATATGGCGCCTTACCGGCCAGCGCCTTGATGCGCGAGCGCTCGAAGAGGCGGGCCGAGCTGTTCTCGTTGTCCCAGTCGGTCTCGGCGGCCAGGTCCCAGCGGTTGTTGATGTCATTGTACTGCTGCTGAATCTCCAGGTTGTCGTAGTCGGTAGGCGAGATGGTGCTCATGGCGACGGCGGCGGCGGGCACAGCATCCAACCTGCAGGGGGCGACAGAGAGGGGAGACACACCGGGTTTAGAAAGGGGCTTCCCAGTCCGGCCACACGAGCGAGGTAGGGCCGGAGAGCGGACCCCCCCCCCCAGACCCTGACCCGCGGCGCCCGCTGGGGAGCGAATCTGAAGAGGTCGGGGTCTGTGACCGCCCGCCCCCCCCAGAAGGGCATGGCCTACAGCCGCAGGACAGGGGGAGGGACGTCCGTCTGTAGTGGACCAGCCCCTACTGCTCCCCTGGCGCTCGGCGAGAAACCCAGAAACCCGCCCGCGCGCTCGCCGGCCGGGGAGCTGGGAGCGCCCCGGAGACAGCAGAGGAAAATCCCATTAGGCGGAGATTACGTTTTCCGAGACAAGAATAGGAACGGCCTGGGCAATTAGCCCTGGGATTAGCACAGAGGAGGCACATCAAACAGCAGCCAGTGAGCAGGCAGGCGGGTAAGGCTCTTATCAACCTGCCTGAGGGGGACAGGAGCACTGGACTGGACTGGACTGCGGATAGGAGCACAGGGCACTGGACTGGACTGCAGATAGGAGCACAGGGCACTGGACTGGACTGCAGATAGGAGACAGCAGACAGGAGCACAGGGCACTGGACTGGACTGGACTGCGGACAGGAGACAGTGGACAGGAGCACAGGGCACTGGACTGGACTGGACTG